GGTAGAACTGGGTTAGATTACTGTTCGCAAATAGTTAAAGATGTGGGTTGTTCTAGTTTTAGGGAAGTACGAAGATTAGCTCAGGATAGGAAAAAGTGAAGATACGTGTCTAACCAATCTTAGGACTGACGACCTTATGATGATGATACGCCTAGTATAAATTGGTGAATAGTCGTAAATCGTACGGTTTTTTACTGAAACATAACATTTACGAAAAAGTGCCATTTATACGTACATATGAGGGTTTTTTATTTGTATGTATTTTTCTTAACTGTCTTCAATGTCTTCTTTGACAGTTTTTAGTAAGATTTAACTGTTGGGGTATTTCTTTTGTACCCCTTTTGTCAATCCACATCTTTATAGAATGTCGAATTCGAAGTCAACTTTCTCAAAATATCCAATTTATCTTTAATCGGATAACATTATGATCTGCCTTCATTCATCATGACGTACATGCAAATACTGTAAGATATCTATTAACATATACCTGCTATCTTAAATGTTAAATTAGTTAATTAACTAAAGGAAACACTAGACTCACACATGTGTCCCCGATCGTATTATCATTTGTTTGATTCATAAATTTATAACACGTCATAATATAGCTAACCAAATAGTATACTTAAGTGTATTAAAACTATATAACTTACAAAAATCCATATTATTAAATGTATTCTTATTATTATTTACATATTGAAACATCAATGTTCGCCAATGATTTGATTTTGTTGTAATAACTAGTACTTTTCCGTGTATAATAAGTACTATATTTTATTCCCAAAATCAATTGTACAAGCAGTCGTATGTATCTATATCTTGTCAAAAATCTGTATATGTAGGTATACTCGGCTTAAAATTTTTGAAAGTTGCAGTGGCTGAAGAAGGTAATTTTATATCTCATTACATTTGTTATCTGTGGTAACATTTCAACATATAATATACTCCTTAAGATACTAGCAGAATAATAATGAAGAAATCTAGTTATTTTAGCAATAGTTTAAATAAACAATTATATTTTCTACATGAACCATATGCAACCAACTGTGCTGTGGTTCAAACTCAAATTCATTGCACAAAGCGACAAACTGCCTCTAAAAGTTAAAATAGTTTTCCCTGTATCGTTGCCTTTTTTTGGTATGTAGTTCTTCGTAAAACACCCGAAGGTGGTATAAAGCCCGTCATTCAAATAGTTTGGCTTTTCTCATACATTCTTTAAGAAAAAACGTGTATTTCTATTGTTCAAACTTCTCTACCATTATTTTATCTAATTCCTTTTCAATTCCCTTTATATTTGTTTAGTTCTGTTATCTTGCACGTCAGTATATTTAAATTATTCTAAATTACAATTGCAGGCGCCTCAATTTCTTAGATTTCCATATCAGACATCCGTTTCCAATTGAAACCAAACAAATCACTTTCCTAAAAGCCCACAGAAACTCGTCCTACTCTAATTACCCGCACTCAACTCAAACTAACCCCGTTACTCATAATTAGACACTTACCTAATCAAGCCTAACATACCAGCCAAGTCCTTTACATTATCTATTCCAGTATTCTTCGGGTGTACAATTATTTGAATACATACCTATGTATCCGCATATCTACCAAGTACTCACCGAGTACTCAAACGACTAATCAATAATCATACTCGGAGTATTGTAGCATTCAAGTACTCGAATATTAGACTAGCAATTATATTATTAGGGCTTCTTCAAACAACCAACATCTTTTATCGTTTAATTGAAAATACACCAGTTACTCAAATAACAATTATTCGAACACCAACAGTTTAAACCTACCTACCTAATATTGAAAATCCTACTTAAACACCTAAGTCTCAACACCTACGTCTTTGCGATTCTTGAGAGTTCACATTGTTAAATCTGCAGTCTTATGTAACTAATCCACTTTTCTGAAATCGTAGTTTTAAGTAAATTTATAAATAGCGTCTTCAAGTCTTATCTTTTTATCATGAAAAACTAAAAATAAGAAACCTTCCTTATTTTAAGCACTAAAAAATATATAATTACAACAAACCCTTTCATTTGATATGTTTACATAACTTTTTTCTTAATTTCCTATTGACCCCCAAAAATGACCCCCACATTCAAAATTAATTTATTTACGTTATGCGTCCGTATTTGGGTCACAGAAATTTATATGTGTTTTAAATTTCAACTTAATCGGCTCAGTAGATTCGGATAGATAGACAGGGGGTTCCATTTTTCAATCGGCCCTGCAGAATCCTAAAAAGTGTATATCGTTTATAACAGTGTGGATTTATAGCTAGTTTGATGAGAATTTTAATTTTAAGAGTCTATATAAGGTGAGTTTTATGTATTTAATTAGATTTTCATTAAATTTCTATTACATGTAAGCGCAGAAATTGTTACTCTGTTTAAAGGCAGCTTTTAATCTGTTAAATCGTTTTCGTATTTATTAAATTCCTGTCTCATTAAGCATGAGATGCATCGAAATAAATAGACTTGAAATCGCATCCGTAAAAGGATTACTGTAATTTCCTGTATTATCCTTTAAATTTAACAGCTTTTAGAATTCGTTTACGGGGAAGTTTTCTTGTATTGCATGCATAATTTTTTTTTTATAAATGTTAATTTTGGAGTACGTGTAGAATCAAACATTTCGGTTTTAATCCATCAAATTTTGGTAGAAAATACTCAAATATTTATTATTCATCGTCAGTGAGGGTTGCTTAAACGAAGCTTACATGATGATAAAGTCCCGCATTTCACCTTCTCACTAATTTCCCCCATTACCGCAGTTCCTGAATTCTCAATGTTAGTATGTTATTTAGGACTGAGCAACTCTAGTTCGAACTTTGTCTTCGACATTGTAATTGAGATAATAATGTGTTCTCATGGGTCAGTAAATCGACTTAAGATTTCCGCTTTGTAATCCGAAGGTGCTATTTTCATTAATTACTAATTATTTACCATTAGTTAGAAAAAACACTGCTTCGTCTCGTCGTGAACACGTCGTAAATTTTTGTAGTCGAGTACGTGTGTAGCAGATACATGCATATAGTTTGCAACAATTATAAATTCAATTAACATTTTTTTCGCTTTTTATAATATTATAAAAAAGCCAGATTAAGGGTAAAAAACAATTTAATATCACAAATATTGATGTTGACCTTTCCAATTAGAGATAGCTTCAAATAAAATGGAAGCGATGTTGACAAAACGGTATTGTATGAAAATAAATAAAAGTAAAACAAAAATACTGGTACGCAAGGAGAAAAAAGTACGGAAAGAACTAGAAGAAAAAGGATTTTAGGTATTTAGGAAGTCAGATAAGTCAGGACGGACGGAGTAGTAGTTATATAAAGCAGAGGACAGCGCAGGATCGAGTTGCCTTCAATAAAAAGAAATTCGAAAAAGATTGTTAAAGATGTATGTTTGGAGCACGGCGCTGTACGGGTGCGAAACATGGACGGAAAGCGCGGCGGAAAACATAAAGTTAGAAGCATACGAAATACGGTGTTACAGCCGAATGATGAGGATACCGTGGAAAGAGAAGGTTAAAAATGAAGAGGTATTAGAAAGAATAGGAGAAATAGGCGAGATAGGTTGATTAGGACTCTTTCTCAGGTATGAAGGTCTAGTCGGAGACATATTAGAGCCAGAAACAGGAGTTAAAAAGGAGTAGAAAAAGACTTAGATTAGATTACGGTTCGCAAATAGTTAAGGATGTTGGTTGTTCCAGTTTTGGAGAAATGCAAAGATTAGCTCAAAGTGGAAGTCTCAGTTGGCCCTTCTCAAAAAACAAATATGCATTAGAATGATTTTTCTTCTTTGATTTTACACATTGTTTAATTTCGATAGATAGCGGGTTGGGGTGAGTGGGGCGCCAAGAAAGAGCTTTAGCCCGGTCGATAACTTCTTGTAAACACGGCTCTGAAGATTACAAGAAATGTGGTAATTTTTGTTTTATATTTCAGTATACGCCTAGTATTGGACGAGCATTTCAAATTTCAACCCTTTTTGTTTGTTTATTTAAGGTCACAACAATTGCTGACGTTTGACGTTTTATTTACGTTGCGTTTAGTGGTTCGTGTACTTTTGCCCGAAACCATTGTTTATTTCTAACCAGCAGCAATCTATAAGCAATACATATGATGTACGTTGGCTGTACGAAATGCTTTACCGAGCAAACATAATATCTATTATTCCCGTATTGTTTTTCTATGAGCTTAAATAATATTTATTTTTATTTGTCGAAGTTCTGTACATATTTTATAAAAATCGGAAAATATAAGTGATTCTGTAGATCACCTATTTATGAGAGAGGCTTTTGTATTTTACTGGTTGGTATTTTAATCCACTTGCTGTAACTCATATGTAATTATACATATACAGGGTGTCTCACGCCGACCACCACATTAAGAATGAAAAATGAATACACATATTCAAATTAAGAGAAATTTTCGGAAATTAGTTAAGATACAGTGAACTACAAATAACAAAAAATAAAATTAAATATTTAACGATATTGGCTGATAATAATTAAATGTATTCGTAAAGTCGTAGTTAATGCTATTTAACTGTAACTAGCTGTAAAATAAACAATGTTCTTGTCAGTTAAGGATATCGACTTGTCAAACTAAACATACAACCTAATTATTTCTATGATACCTAAACAGAACATTTACCTTTAGTTTCGTTTGTGTATTGCGATGGTTTACATCTGCCAGGCGTTCTGGGAGGGCTTATTAATTCTTTTATTTTTATTGATTGTTCTCTATGTATATGTACCGACCGTTTAGCATTTTTAAACTCACTGTTTACCAAAAGTTATTTTGTGTACTGACAACAAAGGGACTAAAATACTGACCCTATTAATTTGTTGCTTTTATGTACTGGGTATTTTACACTTTTCGGCGACCGCTTTACATTTAAAATCCTTTTTTACTTTTTCATGTTCGGGGAAAGTTACAGTAGAAAGAACGTTTTCATGAAGAATCATTTGTTTTGTTACAGGAAGCTGAAAGTGCTATAGCTGGAATGAACGGACAATGGCTGGGCAGTCGAAGTATTCGTACAAACTGGGCCACTCGGAAACCACCAGCCCCTAAAAATGATGGTAAGCTTCAAAGTATTTTTTAAAATTTGAAAAAGTAATGTTGCCTCTGTAATCTTCAAATAGAAGTGAAAAATTGAAAGTTATAATTCAACTGTTGCTGGAAAACAAAATTATCAAAATAGCCACAGGTAAACAACGTTACACCGTTTGTGCCAATATATGAACCGTTAACATAACGCCAGAAGTTTGTAAATTGTTTAATGGACTTCAATGTAACTTTCGATTGCTTAAATTACGTTGCATTGGTTCGGCTTCAAACATTTCCTTTAATCATATCACTGTGAATGCAATATATATGTGCCAACTAGTCGGCAATATCTGTCATATCCAGATACGCCTAGGCGCTTTACAAGACAACATTGTTCTTTAATGTGACTTACTAAACGTTTACTACCTACGACTTACCAAACAAAGACGGATTGTAATGCAGTAACAAGCTTAAAGAGGAATTTTGTGCTATAACCTCAAATAAGTCCGTTAATTCATGGAAAGATTAATAGACGCCCAATAATAGAAATCAATCAAATGTGGGTAATAATAATATTAATAAACAGTAGTTTTTCTCTGTGAAGGATTGGTAGTACGGACTGAGCCCGTAACCGCGTCGGACTTAAAACGGTGTAGCGTGAACCACCCTTAACCGCACACTGTACTGTTCGTTAAAACGCTTCGCCGTATTTCAAAATTGGAATTGCTTGCGGCTTATTGTCTATGTAGATATCGTTAATCATTTATTTTATATTTATAATAACTTATTAAATTGTTAACAATTTTTCTTCTTTATTACGAGTCTGTTGATTCTGTGATATGATTTGTGTTATATGGAATAATCTGGAACTACAAGGTAAATTTACCATCATTGTTCAACGTAAACCCTGTGTACAATATGTACCTGTAAGTGCAATAGGTATTTATACATTGTTAATTCTAATTACTTTGGGCATGAATTCTAAACAGGGTGGCTTACCTATTTCTTCTTCCTAACAACGGCGTTGTATAATAAAATATGCATGTCGTCGTAAAGAGTCAGGGTCATGTCAAAAAATAAAGTTTTTAATAGCCGACAATGACAGAAAAGCGATTAAACGTTGCATACGAAAATAAAGCAGTGTGACATTTTTTTTTCGTCTGAATCTTTTGTAAAAACCTTTTGATTCCTCTCTCCATTCTGTACGTTCGTTTTTATCAGTGGAAATTTAATTTCCGTTGTTTAAGTAACGATGTTTCGAATAATTTTGGTCGTTAGATGAAACAAACAAAAAAGCTTTTTCACAAAGCAAGTTGACACACTTATCATTACATTAACGATCATGCATTAGCAAAATAACAACCAGGTTACAAATTTTTTAACTGACGAATTACCTGCAAAAAAGCGACCACGTTTTCTTTAGGTTATTGCTTTTCTGAATTTTTACGATAAAACACAATTATTTTATGAAATAAACGCTGTAGACAATCCATAGATAAAAACAGTACATTCCTGTCTGACTCCCTTCCTAATATTTACTTCTCTACGTTGCAGCCCCACTTCTATAACTGCTAAACTGCCTGTTGCTCTTTATACACACTTAGTATCGCTTGTAGTTCGACTCTGTAAGTCATCCCTACATTTTTGAGTATATTTAACATCTTATCCCGTTTAATATGGTCCAAAGGAATTTTGTAGATCTACAAATGCTGTGTACGCACTCTTTTTCTATCGTTTTCTCTATTGTTATCTGTAAAGCCAGAATTGCCTCCCGCGTTCCTCTATTTCTTCTAAACCCAAATTGATCTTCCCCTAATAGTTGTTCCGCCCTTTTTTCCATCTTACTCTGTACAATTCTAGTCAAGATTTTTGACGCATGGGAAGTTCTAATTGTTCTAAATGTCTCGCACCTATCCGCGCCTCTCTTTTTTAGGTATAGTTACCACCACGTTCCGTTTATAATCATCTAGGACTTTCCGCGTCTCGTAAATGTGACTTACTATCAAAACGTTCATTAAACACAAAAATTGCACATTTCACTGTCGGCATTTTTTTCAATTTTTTTCCCACGAACGAAAATGTATGAAATACACTTTTTAACCACGTCTCTGAAAATATCACTTGATTTTCTGAAAAATGACCTAAACTAACCGAACTCCCAGTCTTTTGGAAAACATGTAATATTCCTTAAATGTTATAAAAGTATTTATTCTTTTTTCGAATTTTTTCGTCAACAATATTCTCGAACGGATCAAGGTTTTGATAGGATTCACAGCATTCACAAACAACTTTAGCTTCCTGTGATCTTAAAACTTCGAAATCTGGTGAATACTCGAATTTCGAAAATCAGCCTGAATTCAGTAACTTCCCAATTTCGAAAAATTAGTGATTTTTATAGTGGAAACTCAAAAAGTATTCTGAATCTTATTTGTTTTATGTAGAATATGAGCAATCGGGCGGCATTTTTTACGGTGTATTTGGTTCTATAAGCGAGTCTTTACTTTATTCACGGTATACAGTGGCCTCCTAGAATATGTATAATTAATACTCTGGTTGAAGTTTCCATTACACGGCGTACACGCTATCTACAAACTATTTGAAAATAGCGCTGGGAATTACCTGTTCGCGCAACTTTTCCTATTATTTATTTAATTACAATAAAAAGGTACCCCTTTTAAAGATACAAAATGAGCGTTTATATAAACGAAAAACAAGGACAGACAGACACACGAGTAATCCTGTAAGGGTTCCGTTTTTCATTCGGACATACTGAACCCTAAAAATAGCTTCTTTATGTAGTATAATATTAAATATAACGAAGTATTTTGCTCATAGAAGACCTTCTAACTAAAAAATAATAGTGAATTAATTTTTAGAAAGCATTTTTAATTACGTACCAACTTAAAGTGATGGTAAAATAAAAATTTAATCTTGCAATTTTAAAACATAAACATCTTTGGCATATACTTGGTAGTTTAAAGACACTACAAATGATTTTCTGTGAAAAATAATTAGAAAATCCTTACATAAATCGATTATGTATGCGCGGCTTTTCTGGATGAAGACATTTTCCAGCAATTATTTATTCCATTATTTGGAAGGTACAGGTATAAGTGTAGGCGAAGTTAAGAAATAAACTTTGCTGAAAACTGTAAAAAAGCCATTTCACGTCTAGCGAAATGGGAGCCCTTTGAATAAGAAAACTAAGCAGAATATTAAAGGAAGGTTACGGGGCAGCCTTTTGATCCATCCTGTGATATCCCAGCACGATAAGTGCTCTGAAAAATCAAGTAACTTCCTCTGAACTCTTCACTATTGCGCATTTGCCTTATGAGCGAGCTACTCGAATAACAAGAAACAAGATTCAAGAATCAGTGGGTGAAACGTTTCAATTTGTGCATACGTGTAAATGTAAAAGCCTCTTTTACCTCCAACGCATCAGGTGTACGCATTTCATTTCTATTTCTTATCCGAAATTTAATTCTACTTACACCAACATTACACAACTGAAATAAAAAAAATTATATGTAGATTTGTAGATTAAAAAATGTAACACATATACAGGGTGTTCAGGACTCCCAATTCTAAAGAACCTTTTTAAAATAAAGAGTGGGGAAAAGAGGCGCATCAATAGTCATATTTCGTGCGGGTTCGTCAGTTACGATGTCGCACTAGGATAGCGCCCATGTAACCGTTTCTCAAGGAAGAAGAATCATTCGTTACCGCTCGGCAGCAATTTTGTTCCCGCTACAACATCAGACGTTTGCGAGATGAACCAAGCGAAAAGTTGATTCGTAAATGGGTACAGAAGTTTCGAGCTACAGGTTCCTCCATAAATCAGCCACGTCCGGGCCCGAACAGAACTTCAAGAACGGAAGAAACAATAAACTAAGTTGCAGCTAGCGTTCGTCGCGAAATCCTCTTCTACCAATACACAAAAGAGTAGCGGCTTTAAACGTCACCGTATCAACCGTAGAGCGGATTGTGAAGCGTGTTCTGATATTGCATCCTTATAAAACCCACATAGTCAGACAATAACGGGAAATGACCACAATTTACGAAAAAGTTTTTACCAGGCAGTCATCGAGAGATTTTGAACTTTGAAGAGTGCCTCTAAATGGATATAGCGGACTACAAAAACATCAAACACCACTCCATAGCCCAAAGTGGCAGTATGAGATGTTCTATCAGCGAATGAAAAAATCAGGCCGTGTTTTTTTCAAAAATGCCAAAAGTAGAACTATAACTATTACTCTGGTAACGCATATCGGAAAATAATTACCACTTGTTTTGCACCTCGGCTTCAGCAGGATGGAACCACTTCCCACACTGCAGGAATTACTATGGATTTTGGATCAACTTCGTGAGCTATTTCACCAAAAATAGTCACATAGCATTCGCGATTACCCAATTTGCAGTAAACAAAGTTACGCCAATACTCTGAGAAATATTGCAAAGATAAAAGAAATAAAATAAAATTGAGTCAACTATGATTCGAAGTGCTGTAAAATGCTGTAAGTGCATTCAAAGAAATTGACAAATGTATCTAATTAAATTATTTCATATTACTTTTTAATAAAAATGTTTTTCATAAAATTGGTTTTTTTAATTTGATTTGAAAAACTTCACTCTACCATGAGACGCCCTGTATTTATAAAATAAGTGTTGAAGTTAAATCGAAATAATATTGGAATTGAACCACGAAGATGTCGAAACGTTATTTTTCTGTCCAATTTACTCTATAGTATCAACGCAGGGACGGACGAACTGGGATAATTTAAATTGCACTTTCATTTTTTCAGAGTTATGACTTATTTAGAAAGCACTATAAAAAAATTTAGAAATCAAAAAATAAATAATCCAATGAAATGAGATGCATTTTCAATTCTCAACTTATCCTACACAAACTTTAATCGAAAAGATTAGAGATAGGAGCAAAAGTTTAACCCGCTGCGCGATGAGCAGCGTTGAAATGTGATATAAATGATTTTTTATTGATTTAATATATTATATTATATTTATTTATTAAATACGCATAAGTTGTTTCATTACTTCCAGCTAATACAAAACCTCTGACATTTGACGAGGTGTACAATCAGAGCAGTCCCACCAACTGTACAGTGTACTGCGGTGGTATCACCAACGGTTTAACTGAAGAACTAATGCAGAAAACATTTGCACCGTTTGGAACGATTCAAGAAATTCGGGTATTTAAGGAAAAGGGATACGCGTTTGTCAGGTAACACAAATACCTAACTGCAGTTAGAAATTATTACTCTACTGAGACATTTTTTGCTTCCAGATTTGCCACAAAAGAATCTGCAACCCATGCAATCGTAGCTGTCCACAACACTGATATCAACGGTCAAATAGTTAAATGCTCATGGGGAAAGGAATCGGGTGACCCAAACAACGCACCCATTGCGAGCCAGGTAAAACACTTACCGATGGTTTTATGAGAAACGGTTCCACTTTTAATAACGTTTTTATTTTCTTTCAGGCGTTATCTAGCACTCAGTATCCTTATAGTGCTTATGGGCAGCAACTCGGTTACTGGTATCCGCAAAGTTATCCCACAACTGCTGCTGCTGCAGCCCAGATGCAAGGACAGTTTCTCCAAGGAATACAAGGTTACGGTTATGGACAGTACGCGGGGTATCAGCAGTCGTACATGGGGTGAGTTTCATTACTTGTTCCATTTTTTCTTGTAGGTTTTACGCTTTATATTTTTCTTTAATTTTCTATCAAACTTATGAACACAGCTTCCCGTTTCCTCTAAGATTAATCTTGTTTAGTACGCTCATGGGTGATTAACTTCATCAATATAATTTTTCCATTCGGTCTATCCTATTGAAAAAATCACAAGCTATTCACTGATAAGAAAATCTTTAGTTATCTGCAATGGTTCAATAGGCAATTCCGCTCAACCAAAACATCAAGTAGATATGCTGTCTCACAAACTCACAAACATTTTCTAACCCTCGAGCAAATTTCGGTCGTCTCGGACAGAGTCCAACAATTCCTTAACAATGTTAATGCGATGCTGTCTTTGGTCGAAATTGATCCGTCTTATTCCCAAATCATTGGTAAAAATCCAATGGCAGGAGCCAATCGATATGTTTAGGTCCTCAGCAACTTCTTTAACGGTGATTCGACGATTGCCAATACTATAGGGTTGTTCGGAAAGTCATCTCGTTTTTTTTTTTGTGGAAATGAAAGACAATTTTCTTATAATAAACAAATACTTTATTAAATTATATATTGACCGTTCTGGTCCAACACCTTTTGCCATCTTTCTGGTAGTAGCATAATTCCACGCTCATAAAAGTTTTGGTCTTTGCTGGCAAAAAACTGATCGAGGAGGTTTTTGACCTCCTCATTTGAGGTGAAGGTTTTACCGTCTAAAAAATTTTGGAGTGACCGGAACAAATAATAATCCGATGGTGCCAGGTCTGGAGAATATGGTGGGTGTAGCATTGTATCCCATTCAAGCTGTAAAAGCTTTTGGCGAGTGACCAAACTTGTGTGAGGTCTCGCGTTGTCTTGGTGAAACACTACACCTTTCCTGTTGATTAGTTCTGACCTTTTCTGTTGAAGTGCATCATTCAGTTTGTCCAGCTGATGACAGTAGACTTCCGAATTAATCGTTGTGTTATCCGGTAAAAGCTCAAAAAAAACGATTCCTTTAAAATCCCACCAAACAGACAGCATCACCTTTTTTTGGTGAATATCGGCTTTGGAAATGGTTTGAGCCGGTTCATCTTTTTTGCTCCATGACCTCTTGCGTTTGACGTTGTTGTATACAACCCATTTTTCGTCCCCAGTGATGATGCGCTTCAAAAACGGATCATTTTCGTGACGTTTGAGAAGCGAATCGCAGACGTCAATGCGGCGACACAGATTTCTCTCTGTGAGAACATGGGGAACCCATACATCGAGCTTCGAGGATAATCCCAGGCCTTTCAAGTGGTCATAAACTGTTGAATTTGATAAATTTAACCTCAATCCGATCTCACGTGTTGTTATTCGCCGGTTCACATCAACTAATGCCTTTATCGCGTCTTTATCAGCTTCAACCGGCCTTCCCGAACGTGGTGCATCTTCGACATCAAAATTGCCGGATCGAAATTTAGCGAACCAGTTCTGGCACTGGCGTACTGTCAACACACCTTCTCCATACACATCAGTCAATTTCTTTCTGGCTTGAACAGCATTTTTACCCTTTCTGTAGTAAAACAGTAAGATATGTCGAAAATGCTGCTTATCGCTCTCCATATTTAAAAGGGCACCAACCAAAAACTACTGCGTAGAATTAATTGGAAATTTTTCCACACAAGCCTTGCTATATGAGCTCTCAAAGCATATAAAAATTATACGGCTTAAATGTGAAGTTGGGTCCAAAAGAATACAATTAAATCCTCTGTCGGGAAAAAAACGAAATGACTTTCCGAACAACCCTATATTTTCATCATTTCATCAATGTTTTCGTCTGTTGTTGACGTGCTCGGGCGTCCGGCACGCTCTTCGCCGTTCACAACTTCTAGGCCCTCTGAGAGCATTTTGTACCACCGATAAATATTGCTTCGGTTCACGGTAACTTCACCATATTCCACAGTCAACCTTCGGAATGCGTCCGCGCATTAATTTTGCTTTTCACGCAAAATTTGATACAGATTCTTTGATCTACGGTGTCGTCGATGTTGTATGGTGGGTATGGTCAAAACCTCTGAACTGTACCTAGGTATATTTTACAAGTACGCGTCTGGGTCTGTTGTAATTATACATATCTTGACTAAATTTGAGTAATTCTCCATCTCAATTGTACTAACAAAGAAATACCAAAACAAAGATGATGTTGAAGAGGACATTTTAGCAATTTCAGAGCAGTTTCTTTTTCAGAAATTTTCGTAAATATTTGGGCTTCCAACGAGTCCAAGTGTCTTAAGACAGAGCTACGATATTTCAAACATTTCGCTGTTCGTCAGCTCGTCTATTTGATTTTAGTTAACGAAAAGTTTAAGAAAAAGTTTTATCATTCGACAGCCCGGTCTAAAAATTTTCTCGTTTCAATCGAAGAGATTTTCATGTTTATTTAAATGTATTATATTAATTCAATCATCGTGGCTTTAAGAATGCTTGGAAATGTATTTTCAGTTGTTCTTGTTGCAGACTTGGCATGCAAGTACCGGCTACCTGGCAGGGAATCCCCGGCCAGCCGCAATTACCAACAACACCGCAACAAATAGCAGCTACGCCTGGAGCCACGATTCAGCAACCGGGGATCGTATTTCCCATACAACAATTTCAGGTGAGTGATTTGTTTAAACAGATCTTTTACTTTTTCTTGCTTCTTTTGCTTGCCTTGGGTGGCTGCTCATGTTTGCCAAATAGTTGGAATTATCATGCATGACCACTAAGTAAATTGGATGAAGCAATGCTCTATATTTGTGTCTAGATTTTGCTCGATAAATTTCTAAAAGGTTTGCCAATTTTAGAATCCTTTTATTAAAAAAAAAAAAAAAGAAAAAGTCAGATAGGTATATATATAGGTAGGTACCTAACGTAGCAATTTCAATTATAAAAAAGGTATTTGGATAGAGGTGAAACAGTAGGTAGAATTCGCCCTCTCGCTAAAACAACTTTACATGACGTTCGTTTGGGAATTGAAACAAACCAAGTTGTTTTCCAGTAATTTGTACCAATTTCCGGGGGCTTGCATTTGTAATCGAATCGACACACTTTTATCTTGCATCCGAAAGTTTCTGAATAGCCTCCAATTTATTCCCAATGGTACCGTTATAAGCTCTTGCAGCAGGGTTCAAGTAAATTTTACGCTTAACATAATACACACCTTTAAATGCCGTGTAATTAAAGCATTCATGCAAACAACTGTTCTCAGTTAACAACCACAATTTGTCAAAATAATTCCACCGTGTCAGGCGATAGATACCTACCACGTACGGTTTTTATTTAAACAATAATTTCTACATCTACTTCGTACATTACGATATAGTGTAGGCAGTAGTAATGGTGGCTCATGATGAAATCAATCGGGAATTTTGGATGTATCGTTCGCGGAAGCTACTAGTGTCTGTAAACTTCTCATAGAATTTTATCGATTTTTGATAAAAAAAAATTTTTTCATCGGAAAGAATCGATAGAACTGTAAACGATCTTGAGACATTACATTTGAGCAATGCAATTTTAGTTGATAAAATGGTCAATTTTTCCGTGCAGTACTATACGGATTATACGCTCCTCACCGGTTAAGAGTTTGGCCGAGGGTTGTCTCCTTTCTTTTCTGGCCTAGTGCTGTTCTTTTCTACTTTGCGCCGGTCAAACTGAAGGTCACATCGCTACAGAAAGTAAACGAAGTATATCAGTATATCGATAAATCCATACATATTCATTGACAATATAACTATTGATATAGTGATAACTATCGATAACTATTGATATGTCGATATTTTTGCCCAGCACTAGTACCTGCCGAGCTCACGCGGACCAGTTCAATAATTAAGTCGCAGAAATACAATTCCACTCATGGGTGGTACCTATAAAACATTATTGACGGGTTTTCGTCAGAAATAGAAGTGAGAATCGCGTTTTGTTTAAAGTGCAGGACTGTTTTGTGAAATGCTTTTTATCGATCACGATTAATTTCGCAGAGCCTTTGACCTGTAAAATGAAGGTAGGATAGATATATCGCTTTATAAAACTGCGTCAAACGATTTCAAATTAAATGCACAATTCTTTGTTTCACAAAGAAAGAGGAAATAAGTCATCGTATATTAAAGTATACTAAACTAGTTTTCGAACAGTTAATCGTTGAAAACAAAAAGATTATCTATGTATTAAAAGAGCTTGATACGTAAACAGGGATTTTTAACACACTAATAACGCAATCCATAAGTACACCTAGAATGAGAATTTCATGTTTGAACTGAATTATGCGAAAAGTTTGAAGTTTATTCTGTAGTTGAAGAGAACATTTACATTCTAATGCAGTTATCACTGTTCATTAATTGTTCTTAGTCATATAAACGAGCAATCTATTTATCTTTTGCGTAAACTTAATATAAAATAAGTCCTGAACAAAGAAACTCCATTAACATGTATATTTATTATAAGACGTACACTTCACTTAGTTTGCAAATAATTAACAATAAGCCGACTGCTTATTCTTACGCCCACTTAATGGGTTATCTTTGGAAGCGTTTACTACTTTTTTTGAAATTTACATGTTACATTATTGCAAAATTTCATTTGTTAAACCCATTCAACATTTGACTTCTTTTGTATCAAAGAATATCTCTATAACTATACCTTTCTGGATAAGAAAATCGCTCATTCTGCGGAAGTTAAATTTAAAACCATTAACTGATATTATACCAACCGTCGAATCATCACATACAGATATCTCAGGTGAAACGGTTGCAGTATTGAAACAATTATCTCGCTCGGTTCAGTTGTTACAGGTATACTTCATTTACTTTCTCTAGCGATGTTCCCCTTCCGATGTCTTGGATGCACACTGGCAAAATCGTAGGTAGGGAGAAAAAAGCTCATTATATTCTCGACTATTGTTCATTAAACATACTTTTTCATACAGTACCTGCCAAAAGTTTTGTTCAATCATGATAGTAGTGCGAGTCGAAAACAAGCGTTAAAGCCTTTAATATGTCTTCAAATATAAACAAACATTAATATTGATATTTTCAGTAGTAATTGGTACCAATAAAAGCACATTTGAGCAATGCAATTTTAGTTGATAAAATGGTCAATTTTTCCGTGCAGTACTATACGGATTATACGCTCCTCACCGGTTAAGAATTTGGCCGAGGGTTGTCTCCTTTCTTTTCTGGCCTAGTGCTGTTCTTTTCTACTTTGCGCCGGTCAAACTAAAGGTCACATCGCTAGAGAAACTAAACAAAGTATATCTACAGAGCTTGAATATAAATACAATAATACAAAGGGAAATGTTTAATAAAGTATACGTAAATACGATAATACGTCTATTTGAACATAAGAATATCTAAATTTTCTGTCACAAGAGTAGTATTTACTACTGGAAAACAGGGTATGCACCTACGTTGTTGCAAATTGGTAACCTTTGTCATAGGAAATGACCTGCCGTCGGTCTATAGACAAGTTCCTTGCTTTGTCATTTTCTGGGAAGTCCATACGATGAGATTTAGTCGACCCACACGCCACGTTGTTTCCGATCTTCTTTTGTTCATTTACGTGTATTTAAACTTTGCGAACAGTTCCGTAGTCACATGCATGTATGGATTTGCATCTTTTCGTTGAAATACACGAAAGAAAAAATTGTTCTATCGTTAGAATAAAATTTAAACTTTTACTGCCTTACAAATACATTTTACATAAAGTAATGAATTAGCCTTATAGGAGGTAAATACTTGAAAGAATAAACCGTAGCAAGTAGACAAATACTATATGTTATCCTTTAATTAACTTTTTGTAATAATTGCACGTTACTTTCAAATTTAGTTTAAAAATGGTTTAAAGTCAGATATGTGTAATAAAATGTACAGCTGAACCATCGAGAGGTGACCCCTTACTTGCGGCGCAGATGATCAACAAGAACCGTATTCGACATAGGCATATTGTGTTTTTTTTTTTGTTAAATGAATGTGAAAATTATAGTCCAGTTGTGTACGTCGAGGTCTTCGCTCCAAGAAAAGCTGAACTTAAATATTTCACTTTAACACAGAATAACCATCGTCCAATGCGCATATGTAGGCATTACAATCTGAGGGGTCACGTCTCGTTGGTTCAGTTGTACATTTTTGCTGAATGATAATGCGCTTAAAGTTTAGTAGTAGAAAATGTGGTTATTTAGAGATAGATGGCTGTGTAGAAGTGTACGAGTGGAGATACGATTACAATTTTTTTTCTATTTCAGGCTCAATGAAATACGTTACGCAATTACAACCAACTCGACCTAGTGATATTTTAGTAGATAACACTAAGGTATATTTGTTATATATAATTTTCGCGGGTTGTTTGTGCCAAATTTCAACTTTTCTCTCATGCAGGATTCATCAGTTAATTATATATTGTCTATAGTTATAACCAAGACAAGAAAATCGCTGGCTACATTTTAAATAAACGTGCATTGTATATGGTTAGGGCTGTACGATCACAAATCGAAATTTTTGTTGATTCATAATTAATTAAGTTTAATTGATAATAGACAAATAATTGATTGATAAAATAGGGTGAATTACAACGAAAAGATTGTTCTTGCGTTTGCAACATTTTAGCGAAATTGTTGTGCAAATTTTAACAATTTCACGAAGCAAATAGGTTTTCAAAATAGTTTTCTTTGCCCATAAAAACCTTTTCGCTATACATACATATTAATGAATAAAGGTTGAATGACTTCAAAATTTAGAAGTTTAAATTATTGGTGATGCTAAGAATAACATCAAATTAATTAAATTTTAGTTCAATAAAATAAAAAAAAGGGCTTGGTGTATATTTCATAATTCGTAAATTTATTCTGATCTGAACATTGTTTCGACTTTTAAAAGTCTAAACGAATGTATGAAACATACACCAAGTGTTTTCTTTTCTGTTTTATTTAACTAATTAGTAGGTGATAATGTTTCAAGTACCAAACAAATAATTAAAAAAAATAATAACAAGTAAGTACACATCATATCCGTTCTGTTATTATTCGTCGAAACGTCCCAATATGAAGTTCTCTGATATAAATATGAATATTTGTGTGGATGGTGCGAATTTTACGAATAGACTGTCCAGATCTATACATTGTTATAATGTCGAGCTAGATTGTCAATTATAAACGGAATTGTAGTGTAGATGATGTTAAATAGCAAAATTGAGTGGTCTATAGTAAAATTCACATTATGCACTAAAGATTCATATACAGGGTCTCCCAGTTATAATAATTAAAAAAGAAACCATGGCTTCCTGACACAAAATACAACAAAAAAGTGTTATACAATTTTTCAATCCAGTGACAATTGAGCTCGCAAATCGACTTTGTAAATTTGAACGTACAATTTGTTTCATTACGGGCCTGGATCTAGGCGACTAACGTCGCTCAGCTGATCTAGTGTGATTGTAACAAGTACCTACCGGGAAGAAGCCGAATGCACTTCCACCTTGTAAAAAAAAGGTAAAAGTGAAAAAGAAATACGTACCTTTTTTAAAAAATGTTTAAATTGTCCGCCATTCGCTTCAATGCAACACTGACAGCGACGTACCCAGTTGCTGCGAATTTTGGCCCAGATACCGGGAATATTTCGAATTATCCGATAGGCATTGATAATGTAACTCACCACCTACTGACGGTTGAATAAGAACCGTACTAGAATGCACTATCACACTACTAATTGTCCTTATTGTAATAGTCTTTTATGAAATGACCACTAAATAAATAAACTAACACTAACAAACAAGTAAATTCCACAACAATCCAAAGTGAACTGAACAACCTGTTAGAATCTACAACATTATGTGCCTTGTTTTCGAGTTACTTCCAGCAGTGTAATTATACGAGGTTATATCAATACTTAGCTTTTTACATTTAATGAAAACAAAATAACCAAAATTGGTCCTTCTGGACACACCCTTGTATTACCCCACGTGGGGTTAATGAGCCCTGCCAGGCAAAAGTAACGTTTAACACATGTGAATGGTCAAAGTAGGTCTGCATCTTGTCTCAACTTTTACAACCATAACACATACATTTGTTATCGTACACTAGTACGTTGTTACAAATCTTTAGCAAACGCTGGGTGGTGAGGGTTGTTTGTGCACCGCTTCTAACTATTCCGTTGTTGTTAAAATTTCTTTTGTATTTAAAATAACATAATACTCGTCGTCATGGACTACATTAGGTCCACTTCAGTTTACGATCACGGGATTTTCGATTGTGATAGGTACATAGTTTTTCTAACGTGTTTCAGTCATCTAATGGACCTTAACGCGAGTGCATTTTCTTCGGCTGATCCGTAACTTAATACCAAACATAAACAATAACATCACCCCAAAAACCAGCTGATTCCGACCTACCGAAGGTGAATTTTTCTACGATCAGCTGGCAATCGTAATTAATTTGCGATTGTGCAGGGTCGGCATCGAAACTCTTATAATTTTTTAATTTTTTATTTTGTTTCAAAAGTCAAAAGTGTTATAACATTTTATGTTCCAAATGTCCGTAGGAATCTGTGGTATAAATATTAATTATTATAACTGGGACACCCTATATAATTGTCGTTAATTTCATTAATCAATTATTTGTTGAGTGAAGTGATTCAAAGCCCTGGAAAGCATATACGATGTTACACATAACGTACATAGCCTGGACGGTTATTAAATTTAACAGTTCATTATCGACTGTAAGAAAATAAACGATTATTTCGACTAATCGGAACAATCGGCTAATCGAAATAATCAATTATTTAAATTAGTCGCAATAATTTATTAATCAAGTTATCATTAGGGAAATAAGAACCAGTATTACAGCGGTTGTGGTTACTATAAATTGACTTTTGACTTTTTTAATTTACTATTTTGGTACCCACTGCATTTGGTTTATAGAAGTGTTACACATTATTTTTATTTTGGTTTAGAATTTGTGTTTTTGCTTTACAGAATTTATTATCTAACCATTACAGAACGTTATTTTAAACGTAACTGTAAAGGTCATATTACACGGCGCGTTGAGCGTAGATCGATATTCCACGCGCGCGCTGCCACCGTGAAAAAGCTCGCGAACACGTTACCTGGAGCGTGAATTGGCAATCCACGCGCAGTGTAACAGAGGCTTAAGGTTGACCTTAACCGTAACCCTAAGCGCAACCGTAAAAATCACAACCAAAGATAGCCACATAAAGATAATAAATTTTCTAGACGAATTAACAGCAAATATTTTTTTGATAGCAAACAAAATGGCAGAAACAGAAGCGTTTTTATTAGACCATGGATTATAGAAATAAACCTTTTCAGAAAAGTTTGCAGGGACCTTCAATCAGAAAATATATTATTATCTTTATGTGATTATTAAGTATTTCCTTTATGAACAATTTGATTTAAAAAGTAAAAATAATCGGATAATTTGCGCAGCCCTAGTGCATACATACTTATACCAAAAATGTATTATTTTATTAGAATGAAAGAATGTGAGTGTTGTGAAGCTCCTGCACCGCGCTGTTGCGGCCATTCCGATTCCTTTAGCTCGTTCACGCTAGCTCTCTGTCCCTTCATCTCTATTTTTGATTTTTTTTTTTCTCTCTCTGTATTTACTTTGGGACAGTTTATATAGCTACCACACAACAGGTATTGCATGTCGATGACGATACCATATAAAAACCAAGATTGTTATGATGGTGTGTGTTAACAGTTAGCAGATGACGAATGGTTATCTTCAGGCATGTTGGCTTGATGGACTCGGTTTGTCAACCACCATTATTAAAGAACCAGCATTATCGAGAATTGGTGCATATTTTCCGGCACCAACTCGATTTTTCGAACAATCAGCATTTTTCTAACGTTTTTTCTTTTATGTGTGTGTATATGTACACATATACATGTTATATATATATAGTTCAATGATGCTGTGTGTTATTACAGTTTTAGATGTAAGAAATTAAATTTTTAAATATGGTGTCTATATGTTGCTCGAGATAAGAAAAATTTCAATTACGTTTGTATGTTCGTATTAAAAATCTTAAAGTTGTAATTATCGAATTGTTGGCTACTGTTCCTTCGACGTTTTAGGGGAATGTGTAACGTGTTTAAAGCTCTATATATACTTATGTATGTGTAGGATTTTTTTAAAACACTTAACACAGAATTTTGCTGTTTCTTAACCAATTTTTTGTTCGTTCGCATCACTTACCGGTTTTATTGACTATGTTTCATTATATTTTACGAGTTAGTTCTTCTACCTTTTAAAAAAGTTCTGTATGATTCCTTCAAAACTTTACTGCCATAAACAACAAATTATATTTTTGCAATTTAACATCATCCCGAACTTTTCTCGAGTAGAAAAATAAAGGTGAATTTAGAAAAAAAAGCAAATAAAGAAGTACGAACGGTGTATCAGTTTTCCTCTATTCTCGTGTAAAAGAGATAAACTCTATGAGAAAGAATAAATGTCGTCTTCACCTTTATTTAGTACGCGATTGACAAATAATTTCTCCGTAATTGTTTTTGTTTTTAAAAGAATAGTCACAGTATTTTTTAGACGCTTTGAAATTAACAAGTTCGTCAATATCGTCATTAATTAAAGCGCAATTGTTTGTTAATGCCTTTAAATAAACTAGAAAATCAGAATATTCTTAACAGACCAGTACGCCTTATTAAACAATAGATTGTCAATCTTTTTAGAAACGGCTTTTCGAGCAAAACCAAACAGAAATTTCTCTTCCGTGCCTCGGTCTTCTTTGTTAGGTACTTTTACTGATTAATTAAACAGGTGAATACTTTGTTCTAGGGCTGAGACAGGTTACACATCTCATTCAATTTCCTTGGTGTACCTATTAACGGAAAATTTTATCATCGTGTTTTTATTGTACGTGTATTTTTGAAGTTCGATGTTTTTCTCGATGTTCAATAATTAATTATTGCAGATTGTATAGAGAATCAGCAGATTTAATTGCGAATTGCATACATATTATGTCTTTATGACATAAGTCACTAACGAATGTAATATTTCTTGTATATATATAAAAAAAAATGGCGTTCGTGCATATTTTGTGATTTTTGGTACGGTAAAGTTATAAAGATGCAACAGTGAGAAATGAAATTTATAGACAGCATCCAATAGAACTGCTGATCAAAAGTTTCCGAAGATATTACCTATTTTATTTTTTTTAAACAAAAATCTGCTGTAGTTACCCTTTTAATTCAAGCGAAATTATTAAGAAACACAACAATCTCTTTCTTGACTTTGGTTCTTGGAAAATATTTTATTGCTTTCTCTAAATTTGTACTTCCTATCGTAAGATTTCGAATAATAAAGTATTAGAAGCATTTTTCCGGATAAATTACAAAAACTTGATACAAGAATAATTACTTTACATGATTATTCAAAAAGAAAACGGTCATGTACTTACCAAAAAATGGTTAACGAAGTTTTAGTTAAGCGTTTTAATTTTTTTTTTGTTTTTCGAACGATTACATTTTTAGTTTTAGTTTCGGAGCGACTCGGTATGTTTTAATAAAAGATACAAACGAAGTAGGTAAACGATGCGTATTTAGGTAACTAAGTAGATAGGTAGGTAGATAGATTTATGATATACACCACAGTCCAATTTTTTTTTTTTAATGTCAATACTTGATTAAATACATGAAGTATATATGTAGCAAAGAAAAGCTGGAATCTTTTAACCAAAATATTCGTTATACTCGAGAACAATATTCTTATCTTCCCTACAGTCAACTTAAAAAATTGTTATACATTTACAAGTTGTGTGTTGTGGCAATCCTAACTCGACGTGTACGGCGTATGCTCAACCATTAACTAGCGCGTGGAACGCTGATCCACGCTCCATGTAATGTGGTCGGCGTAGCTTAAGCGTGGCGAAACCTCTTGGCACTCTCTTTCCCGAGCACTGTTGATAAATGTCAAAGAAACGCACCTATGGTCAAATAACTTACTCAGTTTGCATAAACATACAATAGATACCGTAAAATTATGTAATGCATATACAAAGATTAAATAATATATAAAAAAACTTTTTTTACATTATATGTTATATGTATTTATAACGTTTACCGCCGGTGCTCGCGAAAGAACGCATCAAGACGTCCTTTCCCGCTCGATGTCGCGCCGAACCCATTACACGGAGCGTGGATCGACATTCCACGCGCTGTGGAAAGGAGTCACAACACATGCCTTCTCGCTCCAGATCGTGACGAACCCGTTACACCGCGGTGGATCGGCATTTCACGCACGCGCTGCCGACGTACCGTAGAAAGGAGTCATAGAACGTGCTAGGACAGGACATCCCGGTCTAGATTGCCGACGAACCCGTTATTTGGCATAAATCGGTATTCCACGCGCGCGCCACCTGCGCTTCGACGAAAGGAATTACAGAAAGTGCTAGGACGGTCCCTCTCGCTCCTTACACAGGGCGGGGATCGCTACTCCACGCGCCCAATGTCAACGCGCCGTGGAAAAGAGTCACAGAACGTGTTAGGACGGGGCGTCCCGGTCTAGATCGCGACAACCCCGTTACGCGGCATGGATCGGCATTCCACGCGCCGTGAAGAAGAGTCACAAAACATGCTAGGACGGGCCTTCCCCTTTCCAAATCGCGACTAACACGTTACACCGAGCGTGGATCGGCAATCCACGCGCTGTGTAATAGGGACTTAAAGTGACCCTCATTGATAAATGTAAGTAATGTTCGAATGAATCTATTCAGTATTTAGCTTCCGTTTAGATCTAAATAAATATAAAACAAGTTCGTCTTTAAGGAGAAACAACGTCAATCGCTGTCGAGTAAAGTGAATATTTTATTGAGCTTATCCAGTTTAATATTTATTTACAAAAATTATGATCGTGGTAAATAAAAAGTGTTGGCATTTAAAAAAAAAAGCTGTGGTTTCGAAAGCTGCGTTTTTGTATGATAAAAAGCACAGGAGTTTTGATACAAGACTAAGTATACTGCAGTATATATAAAGATAAGTGTACCTATATAGGCTATCGGGCATAATAAATTCATACACAAATTAATATATTAGCCCGTGTATGCGAATATTATGTTGTAATTATTAGTTATAATTTACCCAAGTGGGTGTTATTATTTAATGTATAAAATATAAATACCTAAGCCATAATAATAATTAATAATGATGGTGATGTTGAACAAAGATATTATTAAAAACAAAAAATATGTTCTGCTATGCAATATAATGCAAGCAAAATGCACTCATCCGTGTTGAAGCACATACAGAAAATGTGTAATTACACCGTGTTAAGTGTTTAAATTGTAAGGGTTTAAACAGATACATATATATACACTTACATTTGCCCTCATGTGGTTGTACAAATATACATAACGTTTATAAATTTAAGTCCTAAATTAAATTTAACAGTACGTCGTAAAAATGCGTCTTATTTTTCTTTTTTTTTTTTACTTATGTATATCTAAAACGATGTCATTTTCAAAATTAATTATTATTACACTAAAAAGGTACTAAAGCGTTTGACACTCTGATAACGAAGTTACAACAGTCCAAAACACCCAATATCGAATAGTATCTGTATGTAATCGATAGTGATTGTATGAATGAGAATGATTTTCTGATTGCTCTTCACAATAATTTATTTTCATGTGGATTTAGTTCGAATTTTCACTCAATTTATCATTAGTTCTAGTTCTGGTTTTTCTCAACCTGTACTACAACTACCTTATTAACATATATTATGGAATATTTCCCAATCGTTCAATTAATTATATTTTGCTATGAGTTCGCCACCGTCCCTTAAATTCGTACTCTATTAGCTTTCGACAGTTTCCATAGCTGTACTGGCAATATTATGCAGATTTACGGAAAAGAAACGTTTTAAATTTTTAGTTGAGAATAAAGTTGAACTCTTTTATATACTTATAACAAGTCATATCAAAAGCAGTCGTTTCGTGGTTCGTTTGAAGTGACACATTGTCAGTTGGATGTATTTAAATATGTAAAATGCTGTTGTTCAGATGGGTTGTGTACATTACATTCGTTTGTTTTCGTGTATATTAATAAATATATACAACATATAAACGTATATAAAAATACGAGATTCTTTGTTACCGTTTACCGTGATAGTCAATTAAATGTTTAAAGAATATCCGCAGGCCGATGAGTTTGTCCTGAATTTTCGTGTTTATATGCTTTGACTATGACTTCATACCGTTGCCTTTTGTTTATTCCACTGAAGAGAATTTTCATAAATACTACGGATTCTGGTATCGTTTATCATATTAATGTCTAATAATTGAAGAGTACAAAATTCCCTGATTTGAGCTCGTAATTACTATAATTAATGTCTTCTATAATGTCGACAAGCTTTTGTGACACATTTTTATTTTTGGTGAAATAATAAATACACGCGCCAATTCAGAATTTGAGAAAAAGGACTTTTTTACATTTTGCGAAATATCTCCTCTCTCCAGTTCTTTTTTTTTGTCATATACGTCTTTATTGATTCTTGTTCCCTCTGTAATTAATTGTCTGCAAAACGGCCTGGTTTGAAGTCGGTAAATGTTTTTGTTAATAACAAATTGTGTTCAAAGTTAGAAAAATGTTTTTTTTGTGCCTTTAAATATTTTGGGTACAAAGTTCGTACCCAGAAGCCTTAAATTTTCAGAGATCGTTGCTTATAATAATATTAAAAAGTAGTCCAAATTTCAACAAATTTGAGTAATATTTTTCGATTTTTATAATCTTAATTGTAAAAAAAATTAAACTAAGCGGGAAAAGTTAAAAAACTATTCAGATTTCAAATACCATTAGTTTTTGAAAAATATTGATTGATCCGCCCTAATGTAACTTTGAAGTGCTTTTTAAGACGAAGATTTTCCAAAACAAAAATTTATAGTGTTAAAAAAAATAGTGTTTTATACACCGCGTAAGGAGTGATCAGCAGAAATCAATACTTTTTTTAAATTTTCTGGCTTACATTAATTTCAATGATTTAATTTTTTTACAAAAAAAATTGCACATTTTTCAAGTAAGGTGCAAATAAGTCGGACATTTCTTACTCAAAAAGTTAAAAATCGATCTTGCTGAAAGTACTTCTTAATGTAATTATGAGTAACAATTTCTGAAACTTTTAGGCTCCTAAGTATTTCCGTTATTTCCGATATTTAATGTCGAGAACAAAAAATTTCTAACTTCGAACACAATTTGTTAATACACAAATCACTTAGTGACTTCAAATCAGTCAATTATATAGGGAACAAACAACAATAAAGACGTATGGCAAATAAAGCGCTGGGGTCTTTTTTTTTTAATTTTATAATTTATTCTAAATGAACGCATTTGTTTACTATTATACCAAAAATAAAAATACCCAGTAATTAAAATGTTTATTTTCGATGAAAACAGAGCCCCGTTGACTCTTCATTCTCTCTTGGTAAAATATGTCTAATTATTTCGTAATCATCAGTCTTTTGTTAGAAATTTTCTTGGACGAATTGGCAAAATGATAGAGCCCTTTGTTGAGTAATAAACTTCGCCCGTCCATATTAATTCGCATCGGTTTGAATCGCCTTCAAAAACCTAACTAACCGACTATATTTCGTTGTAATTTCAAGATACTATACATCGATTACAAATTACTAGTTAAACTTTATCCTAAAAATGGTCGATTGTACGTGTTCCTTTTGAAAATCAAAAATAATTATGGACATTGTAGTACTTCGTTAAGAGAGATCGTCAAACTTATTCTTTTATTTGCCTAAATATTTAAATTCCACCAAGATTAATAAATTAATGTAATATTTGATTGAATGGTAACGAAATCAAAAATGAAGCTAATATAAATATTGCATTTTTATATCCTTTGACTGGTATTCTACTGCCGTGAGTATCAAAAATATAAAATAAGCATCTCGAAAGGTAGTGTAGATAATTTATCTGATATCTCTAATAAAATTGTAATGTATTCCTTGTGGGTGTTTTGTAGACAGATAGACAGACATTTTATTTATATGTATGTATAAATTATACAGGAGTGCGGAAGTAGAATAACAGTCTTTGAGTTTATTTAAAGCTAGGTATACATACATATATATATATTTTATTACTATCTTCAGATACAATTATTTTGTCGTGAAAGAAAAGTTACATCATCGAAACATATCACGATATCACCCAATTTTTATAAGGATGCTTATTATTTATGAAAGTCAATATTATGCATAATTACGAATGTGTTATTATTAGTGTTAAAAATGTTGCCCTTAAAGTTACCATTTATTTTACCTAAGCGCGCAGCTTTCTGATTTAATCAGTGCTTTCCTTACTTTAGCTTTTATTATTACTGAGGTTGTTTAATCATTCCTATTATATTTATTATACCTGTTGTGTTCATTTTTTTATTACTAATACATAAGTGTTTCTGTCGTTTATTAAAAGTTTACTTCTTCAAACTAAAATAGTTGTTGAAGTGTTTACTGTGTAAGTGAGACCATTCATTGTAAATGTAACTTGTTTTTGTTGAATGTTCCTGTTAAGTTTTTGAAATTTTGTATCCCTTAAATGTTATATAAACTCCAATAATCAAGATATTGAAATGTAATGCATTTACTAGGTTAAAAATTTTGTAGATTAAGTTCGGAACGGTATTATATATAATATTATATATATAATGATAAAAAGGATGCTATTCCAGGTATATACACGTTGTTTAACAACATGTCGAGGCGTGCTAAAAGGATGTTATTTTAAAAGCAGACACTTAAAGTATATACTTAACATTTATGAAAGAAAATGGAATTGAATAAAGAAAATTATAAGTTTCGTGTTTTCTTGTCGATTCCACTTCCTTCCTTTACAGTTACATCTGTTTATTAAAAACCAATGGTGCGTAAAACGTGATACATACGTCTGTTTTGAATTCTTCAAATTTTTAAACATACATAATGTTAATGGGGTTTTAATTAATTTATTTTACATATTAGTCTTATTCACTTAAATGTGATGCTCAAAATTGTATGCTCTACGGCATTTTTATTTCATTTCCAATACTAAGTCGATTTAAACTACGAAATTTACATATTTCTCTACATAGTATGTACTTAAAGAAAATAACAAAACAATTTATGTATCAAGGATTTGGGAGCAAATTTTTAAGTTTAAACTTGTGTTGTTTTACTCGTTTGGCATTAGATGCGGTATGATGTCTTTATTTCAATTTCGATACACAGCAAAATTGTGGACGTCGAATTGAAGAAATATGAATATGAAATATTATATAGACGTCGAATATTTGTGAGTGCTTTTCGTTTAAATAGGTGTAGCCGACAGTAGCAAAAGAAAATTTTTATATCAGTCATTCTAATCGTTTTTCTCCGTATCATCAAATTAAAAGGTTAAATATTTTGTAGTGTTCTATTCAGGAACTTAATATAACAGGAGGGCATACAAGGACAATTATGTGTTTGGTGCAGTGCAGAAGTAGGTACACCAAGCTAACTAACGCAGCGGTTGACAAAATGAAACAGGTAACAAAAGGCGTTTAGTATTGAACCCTGTCACGATAAAGTTGAAAAGCTTTATACCGAATTAAATACCATAATGTATTCAAACAAACGGTGATGATATTGCTTTTGTGGTTGAAAAACAGTTCATTATATTGCACCTTCCGCGAAAAGCCGATTTACATAGGTACCATTTCCAGCAGTTTGTTGAATTTTGTAATTAACTTGTTTAAAAGTGACTCTAAAAATGCATTTCTTTGTTTAATAATAATTTCGCATTCAAATATGTTTTGGTGAAAATATATAAATATGTTATTGTACAAATGAAAATTTTATATTTCCCCATATAAGTGAAAAGTTATGCAGAAATATGTTTCTATAAGTAGAAACATACTTGTACATGTGTGAAAGGTAATAAATTTTTATTTACGTCAACTTGCTTCATGAACAGCAGGGGAGTAGTCATAAATTATAGGTTTATCGCTCACGGTACGTAGTGGTGCTACTACCCTTGGACACCATGGTTAAGTTTTAAACACCAAGCCAAAGTAAACTTCAAACTGTTACTCATCTTAGCAATAAATAGATGAATAAGTGAGAATTTAATTGCGTAAAAAAAATATCAAACCCAACTAATGCTCCCCTGATACAATAATCGAAAATTTTGAATACTATGTAATTTTTGGAGCGTCAGATTGTATTTTCAGCAGACCGCGAAATGAAACGTTAAAAGTAAGACATCCGCCTAATGTTAGCACCTCATATATACGATTAAAAAGTCAATCTAAAAGATCATAAAAAATTAACTACTATTAATTGCTATTTAAATTATTAATTAAATTATCTCTTCATTATTTTAAAATGTTTACATATTCATTCAATTGTACTCTTAATCTGATCAATAACGGTTAAGACTCCTGTATTGATTAAAATTAAAATACATTGTCTGACTAAAATAAAAACAGCGAATGGTGACGGTAGGAAAATAGGACTAATGAATATAATGAATGTTATCGTTGTCATATCCTTCCTTTTATTTACAGGAATATGGACCGAGAAGTGATTTAACTATCTTTACTAAATAGTATATCTATTAATTTACGTGCAGATTCCGGATCATTCTTTTAAAAATTTAAAAAGACGTACTATACAGGAGACACTTTTTTTCATGTCTATAGACGAACATATGACCTTATCTATGAACATAACTTCTATCTATGACTGTATTTACCATTTTTAAATCTAGCTATTTGCATGTCTATGATATATGCCAGTCTTTCCGGTATATAGAGTATATAAACATCTATACCAGTGTACTTGTTTTCTATGGTGTACACGAGTCGTATGAAACTGGCACCCGATATAAATAATCTAGTAATTCAAACTTCATCAATAAGTTGTGCCTCGTTTGCGTGTTCTAAATATGTAAGTAGAATAATTATACTTGTATTACTTTGTTAAATAAAAGAAAAATTGTTTCCGGTGTAGGTGGAAATGAAATGTCAATTCAAAAACTACTGAAGATATGATAATTTAATTGACGCCAGTTGATTGCGTACCATTTGTGTTTGAAGACTGAAACATTATGGTAAGCGGAGTTTATCTTTATATTATTTATTAGTAATGATTACAAATATACTAAATTTTTCAATGGTATTTCTATGATCATATTATCTACGGTTCATCAATAGGGCACACGTTTTAGTAATATCAATGAAAAATAGTAGTATTTTTTTATGTATTGTATACAAATTATTACTAATAAATGAGGCCGAATTAAACTTCAATTTGGTCTTGTTGAAATAGTCAATGTCTACATGGATGTTGTTTTTCGTGGACTGTATTCTTCATTTGCTGTTTTCATCTTCGCCTTACAACATCAGGCAGTGAAAATTTAACCCTTGAATGAGAGCAACTGGCTATTTGAATTACACTGAAACAACAAATTGTCTGCAGGGATATCCGTTCCAGATTTGGTTTGCTCAGCACATTGGTAGACTTTAGGACACCACCTTCTACAATTAATTAAGGTGAGAATGCATGACTTCATTAAAATAATTGCTTTTTTTTTAATCTGTTGTGACATTTCTTCTAACAATTATTAATCGTTAACAGTATAACTTGAGTTCGTCGTGCAACGATATTTCTTTTCACAGTTTCTGTTTTCCACAGAATAAATTGGTATTTTTCTTTTGTGATATGAGCAATAGTCTATGTCATTTATGTCATCTTTTGGTTTTCTTTAAATAACAGAATGCAATTAATTGACTGCATTATGTATACGTATACAAAGTACATATTATGTCATCTTTTGGTACAAAATAACTACAAATTGTAGTTAGTTAGTTACCTAATAACTTTATAAAAGCTTAAAATTCCGAATAATTATTATACATCAATGTTATTAATAATTCGGTTATAAGAGAATNGTTTATTACTTTATGAACTGTTATATTATGTAATTGTAACTTAGAATGATAGTTAAAATGTTTCTAAATTGATCTTTTGGCATAAATGTTAAAATTAGATTAAAATTAAATTAAATATTTGTTTATTAAAATTCATTTGGGTGGATAGGGTGGCTATAAGGGGCGATGCGGAGGCCACAGAGGGTTAGGGAAACTTTTTTCTCCTTTATCTTGCTTTTAAATAATGTTGGTATGACAGTTTATGTAGATAATATGATGCTTTTTGTTGTATTTGCTTTGAAATTTATTGATTATTGTGTCTCTCTTACAGGTATTTTATTTTTAACTCTTATAGGTTGTTAAAATGTATTATATCTTAGATATTGTGTTTATATTGATGTATTGTTGTTATTTGAAATAAATTTGTACTTTGTTATTAATTAAGGTGAG